CCATTTGCAAAAAAAAGGAAAAAAATAAGCAATACTCCGACCGGTCCTCGCTCAGTGGTGGAGCTTGAGCATAATCCAAGTGAGGGCCATTTGGTGAAGGGAGACAAATTAATAGGGAAGGAGGGGTTAATCTCTAATTTACACACTAGTTAGGCGTAAAATAAAGCATATTCTTTAATGGTTGTAAAAGTTAGGGGGGGGGGGGGCATTGCCCCCGTTGGTCTATACACGAAGCTCCGCCACTGCCTACGCCTTTGGCATGTCAAGCTTAAGTGCCCCAAGGACTACAATGGTCACCTCCCTGCTCCTAGCAGTGGCAGAGCTAGCGAATTTCCAAAGCCTCGGCACATCTCAAGAACGTATCCTGTGAAACAGACGAACCTGTGCACCCCATGCACCACACCATTTTGGACTTATAGATTAAAAGATGATGGCCATGATTGAGGCAAACCCGGGGCTGTGAACATATTTTGCAAACAAAACACTTTATTTTTGCAAAATCAACCCAGTTCAACTCTCGCTGCGATTTCCATACAGTGGGTTGATTTCGATGGAACATAAGTGGTTTATTGACAACGGCCCAGACAACTGGGTAGTGTGCGGGTTGATTTCAACAAAATACAAGGTCGTTTTTGCAAATGCGCCAATAACTCATCTGTAGTCAGACATTGTCCCTTGGTTTTCCATCCAAAGGCCCAAAATTGCACGGTGCACTCGGTGCACACATTCGTCCATTTCACCTGATACATTCCCGGCACATCATAAGCTAAAAGTCTGCTTTGGTCTAATAAACACCACATGTATCATATTTGGATAAACGTCATGTAACATATGCACTATAGTTTTATATATCATAAAAGTAAATAAAAACATCAGACACAATGATACCAAATAATTCCCTAACACCTGGCGACGTTTATACGAGAAAAGTCCAATCTGCAATGTTTATGTTAATGTTCATTCTGTTGATGTAGGCTTTGCTACGATTCCACTTGTGAATTCTTTTAGTTAAACAAAGAATATGTTCAATTCTATAGAATTTAAACAAGTGTAATTTGAATCTGGCACAATCTACGTTGAACTGCACAATTTGTCATAAATTATATAGAACAACTCACCAAAGCAGCAGTGGCGGAGCTTGCGCAAAACTGTTGGGCGGGCCAGGCTATTAAGATTGCTACTACTTGGTATTTTGTGGCTTCTTGGCTGGCTATAATAGGAAGACAGGTTCCAGAGCTGGGCGGGCCATGACCCATTTGGCCTTTCCTAAGCTCCGTCAGTTCAGAGCATGAGTGTAACTCTCGCGGAGGAGTCGCCGCTTTGGCCCACGCGCATGCGCTTTTGATCACATCTGTCACCGGACAGAGTCAAGGCCCCACCGCTCGCCATATATCTTGTCGGCCTATCGTCGGCTCTCCGCACTCCGTCGGCGGCCAATACACATCCGAGATCGAGGGGTGGCGAGGGCAGTGTGCGTGCCGCCAAGCATCAGTTCCATTCCATCTAGAAAAATCGCAAGTCGGGCATCGCTATGTCTCGCGTTCAGCGAGTCGAGGCTTCCGACTCGCTGAAGTGTGCAACCATATGGGCTGGCCCAGGTTCGTGTGTACTACACTGCCTTGATTTCTTTTCTTTTTTTCACGTTTTTATTTTGTTTACACTTTCAAATAGTCTAAACATATATATTACAAATATATACTTTACATAATATTTAGAAATATGTTAATCATGCATTTGAAACAATCTTTAACAAGTATTTAAAAAATGTTCAATAAGTATTTGAAAAATGTTCAACACGTATTTGAAAAATATTAAACAAGTATTTGAAAAAAATGTTGATCATGTATACACAAATGTTGAACAAGTATTTGAAAACTTTTGAACAAGTATTTGAAAAAAATTTGATCATGTATATAAAAATATTGAACAAGTATTTGAAAAAATGTTGAACAAGCATTTGAAAAAATGCCGGTCGTGTATATAAAATGTTAAACAAGTGTTTTAAAACTACTGAGCAAGTATTTGAAAAATTGTTAAACAAGTATTTCAAAAATTGTTAATCATGTACTATATGAGAATGTAGAATGAAAAAAACAAGAAAAAAAATGTAAACCAAAAAAGAAAAAATGAAGAAGAAAAAAGAAAAAACAAAAGAATGGAGAAGAAAAGGACAATAAGAAATGAAGAAACAAAATGCAAAAAGGAAATTAAACAAAATAAAACAAAAATGAAAAAATCCTGAAGAAAACCGCTCGAGTAGCATCAAGTACGATGCGCCCCTAGTTATTACCACGAAACGATCTTTGGTGGGGTCGTTAGCACAGCACGATCTCGTCGAGACCAGGGTTTGACTCCTCCTTCTAGCATTTCTTTTTATTACGACTATGCGCACGTGAATGGGCCGGGCCAATAAGACGCAAGGCGCAAAAGCTTCAGGCTGGTCACAATGGTCAAAAACATAAGCTAGTAACTTCACACTTCCCTAGACTATGTTACTACCTCCATAGTGGGTAGGAACATCCATGTAGTGTCATGCAACGATGTATTTATTAGGTTATAGACTCATTGTTTCTTGGAGTGTGTGATGTTCCGGTAACTTAGCTAGTTACCACAAGCACCTCTCTCTTCATTAAATACGTGCCACATAAGCAAAGTTGTATTGGAGTGTGTGATGTTACTCCTAAGTTCCTCCCCACTGTGACCAGCCTCAGCGAGAGCTGTCACTTGGATCACCTAATGCGATAAATAGTCCCGGCGTCACAAGTCCCTCGTCTAACAAGATGGGCTTCCTCAATCGATCGATTCGTATGGGGGAGCCAGTAGTTAACCAGCGCTCCTTCGGGAGCCTCGCAACGATCAGCGTCACTTGGCGCGCTCCCAGCCGTTCGCCACGTGTCGCGCTCTAGGCACTTCCTCCGTTTTTTTATTTTTCCGCACGCGTTTAAATATTTTCTTCCGGTTTTTTCGACGTTTTGGTTTTCCACCGGTCTTCCTTAGCTTTTCGACAAAAAAATTGATTTTTTCCGTGAAAAAATGTGTTTTCCTTTTTTTAATGAGAGTTACGGTTTTGCTTTCGCGAGACTCACGGCCGTGCCTCTCGAAAACGAAAAAAATGCATTTTCTATTTTTTCGGAAATGTTAACGCCCACACGTGTGGGCGTTCACCATCCCAACCACACGCAAGCATCTCCGTTGGCAACTTTGTGCACTAATCTTGGAACAAACCGGCCGGTTTTCTGCGCCATGTAGGACGAGGCGCGTGTGCGGTGTGCGAGTCAGTTCGCCCGCACGTTGGTTGCCATCCCGCGGTCAGCGTTTGCCACTCGGAGGCGTGCGGTGGAACTGCTATGCACCCGCACGCCACGCTCCGATTGCGGTTGACGTCAAACACGTCGCACACCTCTGCCCCCTCTCCCTCACGGTTCCATTTACTCACCCGCATCGCAGTTACTGGCACAACCCACTCGCATTTCAAACCATTGGAGGAGAAGGCGAGGGGAGAAGGCGACGGCGGAGGCGGAAGAATCGACGGTGTTCGCGGCCGTCGGTGGGGCTCGCCGGAACGGAGCGGCTTCGCCGGAGCGCCTGCGGGTTGAAGGTAATGCTCGCTACAACTCTCGCAATCCCTTGCTGCATTTTCCCCCCTTCCCTCCCTGTTTGATTCCTCGATCGAGATTCGTAGAGATTCAGGCGATTCGGTGATGCGTCGGCGTTCCCGCCGGCGCCGAAGTCGTCTGCTAGCCGTTTTTGGTGGCACTGGGCAGTTTCGTCGCGGCCGCGGCGGCGGCATCGTCGGTGTGGTTATGCCTGTTCGGAGGCACGCAGTAGTCTTGCCTATGGATTGTGCAGGTGTCTCCCGGTTTGTTTGATGCGCATTGGTTCGAATTTGTGTTTGCAGTCAGTTCGTGGGAGAATTTTGAAGGTGAATTTAAATTCGCGGTAGTTGCCATTGAACCCTAGATCTAGTTAGTTGGGTTTTGAAACTGTAGTATGAGGCGAACTTGATAGTTTCATTAACTATCATGATTGTGTGGCAACTAACTCCCTGAACAAATGTGATAGTTGCCACAAACGTGTTTCCCCTTGCGGCAACAAATTACTGAAATGACTGTGTTAGTTGCCAGATATAAGCTTTCGCATGGGGCAACTATTTTTATTGAATGATTGTGATAGTTGCCACACACACGCTCTTCCACGTGGCAACTAAATTTGCTGAATTACTGTGATAGTAGCCACAAACATGCTTTTTCATTGTGGCATCTAATTTTTCTGAATGATTTGTGATAGTTACCATACTGTGATAGTTGCCAAAATCGGTAGTCAATGCAGTTTCAAGAGCCAACTGCACTGGACGGCAACTAATGTGCACATCAAGTGTGCCTGTTGCCACTTGGATAGTATATTCATGTGGCGAATAGAATGTGAACACACTGTCTGTTGCCATTCTGCAGATAAGACAGTGTGGCAAATTGGCTGCATAATATGGCAACCAAATTTGCATATCAATTGTGTTAGATGCCATACATATGCTTTGCATGTGGCAAGTTTTTGGCTGACCACATCATGTCTGTTGCCATGCCGCAGTCAGTATAATATGGCAAATTCATTGTACTGTAGGCGCAATTTTTTTTGTTTTGCCACAACGACTTTGTGATATCTGATCACACTGTGGCAATTTTCAGGTTCTTGAATTAGATGTGGTTTCATCGATTTGTTGTAGTATGTGTTGCATTTCAGCACGGCAATTTCACCCTAGCATATTTCTGCCGCTGAACAAGTGGCATTTGATTGGTGTATTTTTAGGACAGTGTGTGAGCTGCCACATCTTAGTTTTTCTGATGTGGAGGATTCTGTGACTTTCTATCG